TATCTACGATAACGGTGGCGGCTAACACCGCGTTGCGTTACGTTGCAATTCTCTCTCTCTCTCTCTCTCTCTCTCTCTCTCTCTCTCTCTCTCTCTCGGGCGATCCTCAATGTCACGTACGCCGATAACGCGCCGCGGAAAATATCGCTGCGTGGAACGAGTGGCTTTGGCTCGCGTCGGAAAGTCGTGCACGGCCTTTCCGGCGGTGACGGCGACGGTGAACAATTGAACGCGTAACGATCGTTAAATGTCGGAAGGTACGTACGTACGTACGCGTACGTGTGCGTACATGCCGCGCGGGAGGCAGACGGAGAGCGAAGTAGAAAAAAGATGGGGGCGAGACGCGGATAGACAGAGAGAACGTGTGTATTGTGACAAAGTGAGAGAAAGAGACAGAGTGGGAGAGACTGGAACACGCGACCTTCGCGAAACGTTAAATGTCTACGCTGCTTAGATCGCAGGACCGTACCTGTCAAAAGACACCGCGCCCACGATGAGAATACATGATTGTTTATGCAAAATTCACTTTACTTTTAGAATGTATTAAAATCGACATAACATTTATACTTGTAATTCCTTCCCCTTTTTAATAAATTTGAACTTTTACAGAACGGGAGGAAGCCGCTACAGCGTTTATATTTCGAAACGAAAAGTACAATAAAATAATGAATCACATACGGGAAGAGCTGTAAGATTTTAAATATAAAACCCCTCTCCTCTTGCAGAGTAGTAATTAATAGTCGCGAGATACGTTTATTTTTTACAGTAGCGCGTGTCAGACGGAACAAACGTTGCAGTCAAAGTTTCACGTTAATTTTGGCGAACAGCAGTGAAGAATAGCGAACGATAATGCAAGTCTGAGATGAGAATTATGTACAATAATCCATATTCGCAGTGAGCGTGAGGCTTTAAGCATTTACCGTATTCCGTCGCGCGATATCGCAAGGATTCGTTATTGAAGCTGCCTGCGAAATCCGACGTCTCTGACGTCGAAATGCAACGTGACAACACGCGGACTCGGAACATCGAATGCAGTTCTCTGACGAAGACAGACTGCGCGGCGCGAGGGCCGAATCGAGGAACGAGGACGGAGCGTCGTCTTCGGTATTCTCGACGTCGAGACACGAGCGATACGTCACACGGTCTGTCTCTGTCAAGGCGAGTCGATCGCGGAAACGCTATTATATCGTCGTCGTACAGGCGTTAGGTATCGCGGTATTATGAAATGTAAGAATAAGAGAAGTGGGGAATGATCTCGCGAGGCGTTGCACTCTAATGAAACCTGTGATATTTTCAGGCTTACTTTGCGCGAACAAATTTTTCGGATTGAAGCCCTGATTTAATAAAAGATGAGAACGAAAGTTTTTTCAGACAAAATATAGGCAGATCATAGCCATTTTGAAAAATGTTTTCTTTATAATTAAATATAATGATATTCTTTATAATTGAAGAAGAGTACAGTAGAGAAAGCTTCGATTTAAACGAACGATCGTTCTGATAATTTCAGTTTGTAATTTTTCATGTAATCACATTAATTATCACAGTAACAGATCGATTGCAGGTTCAATGATCGAAAATTTACTTTCGATAAGTAATTGTTCAGATTATAATTTACCTTTACCTGCTTTAATCACGTGTCATAATGTGCATTCTAGGAATATAATAGACGGACGTTCGCCGTAGAAAATCATCCTAACGAATCCGTTCGAAATGTCAAAGCTAATTGAATTAGTTTGAAACTGATTCTAATCAAAGCTTCGAACGATGAAGTACACTGAAGCCAGTCGGGATTTGATCACAGAGCGCGTGCCACCACTACCACTTGCACTTTACGTCAACGTATACGATGGGGACAACGTTTGTTTCAAGCCCTTTTGCCGCGAATTTGAATAATTAAGGTAATAGAGCAGAGTGAGAAAGCCACCAAGGGCAAGCGGTTACTGGTATGAAAGAAAATTTCACGCCAAAGTGCGCGCTGTGCCTAGAGAATCTATTATTGGATCATTGTCAGTCAAGAAACTCGAATACCAAACAGAAAGTCTATACGCATACGACACACGTCATATGAAATGGATCTATAAAAAGCATAAAGAAAAAAATGTTCGCTACAAAAGAATTACTTCTGTATCTATCTAATATCTATTCGAAATTCTATTCTCACTTTTTCTTTTCTTTAAATATGCCATACAAAAATGAGTTAACCCTTCCTCTACCGTAAGAATAATGTTCTTCAATCGATTTATAATTAAAAATTTCACGTTACCGAGCGACCCATCCGTGTACAATTCATTTTTTTTCCCCATTTTTGTAGACTAACTTCATAACAATGTCATTTTTTTTTAATGCGTGACGATATTAACAAGAAATTTCTAGATTAAATGTTCATGAAAAACATTCAGCGATGAAAATTTTTTGCAAATTTTTCGTAAATTGACGAAACAATAATGTAATCTTTTTTTCACGATAGTAACTAGAAACATCTTTATATTCACAGCTCATTTTTATCGACAAATGCTCATATTTATTGCTGAGATTCTACGATATACGTAATGTAAACCATGTGCTAAATGCGCCAATTTGTCAATGAAAATAAGCTGTGAATACGGCCATAAATGTTTTAATAAAAGTACTTATATAAGGAACATTCAACTACGATGAAAAAGAAGAAAGGAAAAAAAAAAAGAAAGAGAAGACAGATATATCACGGATTAATTCATTTTTGCATAATGTTATTCAAGTGGTTGTCTCCGACGAATTTTATCACGAATTCATCAGTATGAGTCCACCTCAGAACTACGTCACTATGACTGCCGTTTCTGCCGCTGCCAAAGTGAAATCCGCGAGAGAATATACACCGATGCTCGAACAGTTAAACGCCACTCTCGTCGTAGCGGGGCCGTTCGATCGGTCTAAATTATCTCAGGACTTTACTTTTACTCGCTCACGCGATAACGCTCCTCACCGATCGTCTTCACGACTCCCCTCATCGTGCTCCAAAAACGAATCTGCCTCTTACCTCCCCCTATAGCGCATCAAGTTTTCCCTCCCTCTCCCTCTCAGTCTCATCAATTTCTCGACGCACGTGAGGTATTTTCGTCCCGGCCGTGTTTGCGGCTCGCGGAGACACGCACTCTCCGCAACTTGCGAGTCCCCAAATTCTTGACAACACGCGTACGTATTCACGCGCGCGCGCGCGCGCAATTTGTCGCACCTTTCTCGTGAGAGTTCTCCCTAAGATTCATTGGCTTCCTCCTTCCTTCTCTTTTCATCGCAAACTCGCGCCCGGACTTATCACAGCTGAGCGCTAATAAACGCAGCTGATTTCCTTCTCTCGACCTCACTCCCTCTCTGCGATTCTGTCTCAAGACACGGAGTGTCGACGACTCGAGTCGACATTCGAGAGGCAGCGCGACGACAGGCGACAGAAGCCGCGAGCGAAACGACGCGAGTCGCTCCGCATCCTCGGCGTTTTTTCGCGTCTTCCTCGCTATTTCCTCGCGGCGTCGTTCGCCGTTCGCGCGATACGCGTTGCACTGTTTCACTGTCACGTGTGTCGCGGCACGTCGCGAGGACCACCGTGCCAAAAGCGTACGTCTTTGATATCGCTTTTTCCATTCTCTCCCTCTCCCTCTCTCCCTCGACTTCGAGCCAGGCTTTTCCTTCGTTATTGCGTAGAGGAAACCAAACTATTTCGAACGCGCGTGCACGTCACGGCTTAACGAATGCATAGGACCGACCGCGAGATTCGAAAGCGGCTGCCAAGACTTTTCGGGGCCGCGCAAGGTCGCCGCGCCGATTTATAATCGCAGCTGTCAGAAACGCGCGCGCGGACCGCGAACGTGACGTGCACGCGCCGTAGCCGTAGCGCAAGCTGTCAGAGCGCGTGTTTTCACGTGTCTCCACTGTAGTTCGAACGGTGCGGCGACGCGCGCTCCGCAGAGACGCCGAGAGAGACACAGAGAGAGAGAGAGAGAGAGAGAGAGAGAGAGAGAGAGAGAGAGAGAGAGAGAGAGAGACAGAGACAGAGAGAGAGTCCTTCGCCACTTCACGCGTGTCGTGACAGCTTCGCTGAAGGGCAGAACAACGGATAAACTGATCGAACGAAATAAACATACGAGCACGAATCACAGGATCGAAACGTCGTCCGATCCGAAAAACGCGCGCGTACTTCTCCGAATTTTTCGAAAGTAGATTTCCACTGTGAAGAATGAAAAATTGGGCCAGTCTTGGAAAAGAAGTGGCTCGATTTTCAATTTTTCAACAGCGAGATCTTGTATACTCCTTCAGGGTGAGATTCACTCTTAAAAGTTTAAGAGAATAAATAACGCGAAACTTAGCGCGTGGTTTTCGCGTGACGCGAGGCCACTATTTTTCATCCGTACTCCCTATGTGATCCCTTAGCTCGGTGTCGATTGCTCTCTCTCTCTCTCTCTCTCTCTCTCTCACTCATGATTCGACCTTTTATTTTCGTTCCTCTTTCTCTCCGTTTGTCTATCTTTTCCACGAACTCGTCAAGCCTCGTGACAGGTAGCAGTGATAGCGGTCGAGTGCGACGGAACGTTAATGGCAACGATGGTTAACGAACATGGCAAATGTAACAACGTCGACGGATGACGTACGACGGCGATAGATGAAAATGTTGATCCCACCCTCTTCGCAGAGTGAATATACATATATATATATATATAATATCTTTTTTTCTCTTTCTCTCTCTCTCTCTCTCTCTCTCTCTCTCTCTCTCTCTCTCTGTTGGTCCAATTTGACGTTTGTGTCACGATGAAATCGCGCACGCGTCACAAAAACCGTCGGAATATTAAAACGGTTGTCGTCTGCCCCCGGTGACGACGCACGACGATGACGATGACGACGACGATTAATAATGATGATGATGATGATGATGATGATGATGACGACGACGATAACGACGATAAAAATAATAATCCGCGCACTGGGCCACGTTCTTTCGTGAAATTGTAAAACACCGCGGTTTAAATATTTACCTTGCTACATGTAAAACGAATAGAGGAGCCTGCCTGAATCGAACGAAGGAAGGCTCGAACCGGCCCACTGTGACGTCGCCGGCCTACTGTCAGCTCAGCGCTCGCTCGGCCCCGCGGTCAACTAACCTACCGTGTTCGCCGCGCAGACCGTGCCGACAAAATAAATCGATTCTGCGCGGCTGAGTGCCGTGAGCGCCGCGCGATAAATCCGTGCGTACGCCGACAGGATTTTCGGCGTCGCTCGCGCTTTTCCGCGCCCTCGCGATCGTCTTTCGATGTTTCGATAGTCGCTCATATGACTCGCGTTGTAGTCAGGTGTGAAACGCTCACGCGCGCATCGCCGCGTACACACGCACGCGCGCGCTCTCCCACACAAAGCCGCCGCGCGGATGCGCGCGTGCGCCCTCTCAGCGCGCACGCACACACACACGCTCACACACACGCGCACACATACACACATTCGCCAAGCGATGTAGGAGGACGCGCGCCAACACGGATACGCACGTATCCACACCGATAACACACACGTACGCAACACAGCGGCGTCGCGCACGTTTCTCTCGCGGATCTCTGCGGATCTCGCGATTCGTAGAGCGGCACAGGCGTCGTTGGACCAAAAAAACGCCGGTGGTTGAGAGGGAAGGAAAGAAAGAAACAGAGTGAAAGAAAGGGGCGAAGGGAGGGGGGGGAGAGAGAGGGAGAATCCTGCGAAAGAAAGGCAAAGAGGGGATGCGCGCGTAAAAGTATCGCACGCACTGACGTTTTACGCAGCAACGCGCGGAGAAGCTAATTATTATTTTCGACGTATGATCGGGAGTATGAAACATTACTTGTGCCTTCGCTCCGTCTGACGATGACGGATCGATTCCTTCACGAGTCTGATCGAGAAAAAAGTATTACGATGAAATGTCAGATTCTCTATGAAACAGACGCGCGATGTAATATTTATTGTATGAGTCTTATCATTTTGAAAGCTCGGCGTAACGCTCCAATCTTAATTGAGAATGACATTTGAGATAATAAATTGAGTACTTTAACTTCTCGGAACGAACTTTTTCGGCAAATTGTGTGTTACTGTCTTTACAATGTATATTGCTATTTAAAAGTAAAAGAGAAAAAACACACGGTATTGCATAATTAATATCTTCGATAAAATTGATTTTTATGACACTTATATTGAATACTTTTTTTGTTTCGTTATCATTTATATATTAGTAAATAAAATAATTTTGATTTTACATATATAATATCTCATTAATATAAAAAAAAAAATAAACAAATTTCCTTTATGTAGATGTTATATAAGTTTACATGTTTACTCTCTAAAACTTAAAAATTCTCTCTCTGCTTTAGTGATGTAATATCTTATTTCTCAATTACTGATTTAACAAATATAATTAAGATTTAAGACATAAAACTTCTTATTTGTTTTACCTCTCGATCACACTTACTTATTTCCTAATTATCTTTTGTATGTTTTTACATCTTGTGAACACTGTATATTTTCATTTTTTCTTTCCCATGCTTTTTTTTAATCTCGCAGTACATTGTGTACACGCGTATCTTAAGTTCTACTAAACTTCGCAGAGTAATACATGCACGTGTATTCGTCTGCGCGAGTCTCGCGGCGATGTACTCCGCTTTTATATAGATCCTTAGGTAACGCGAATTGCGCTTGCAGCTCGTCTGCATTCACGAAAGAGAGAGAGAGAGAGAGAGAGAGAGAGAGAGAGAGAGAGAGAGAGAGAGAGAGAGACAGAAGCAATGTAATAGCAATGCGTGTTCTTCAACCTACATTTGGAGTATCATCTTGCGATAGTCCAACTGCAGACAATTGACCTAAAAAATAGCCAGTGAAAATTTATATATACCTTTATATTTATTTCTCTTCTACAAAGATAATGCCTAAACGGCATGTAGCATATATCGATTTATTTTAATAAGAAATTTCATATAAAGCTACTCTGCTAACTGAAACGATTTACGTAATTTCAACAACAATAATAAATCATAAATAAACCACAATAAATATTTGTAGTTACTGCAAAGTTAAAAAAAATTTTTTATTGATTGAGATATGTACTGAAAAGAGCACAGTGTGCGCACGTCGAAACATATTGCTAGCGGGCATGCTTACGAAGAAAAGTGGCTCCGTGGTCTTTATCGAGCGATCGTTACTCATAAATTATTAGCAAATCGATGATTTACAATCGATGCATAGATACAGGAACGCGCAGATTGTGCATAAGGTTTCAACGAGAAAAACCAAAGCGGCGCAGTTCGCCGGTATTTTCCGTCTTACGTGCAACTCATAATTAATAGTATCACACTGAAATGGTTAACACTTTCCGTGATTTATCGTTTTCTATTTTCCATAATTGCTACGTATTACACTATTCCGCAATATTGCCAACATTTCGGAGAAAAAAAGCACAAAGTATGCTAGTGATAGAGTCATAAGCGAATCTTTCGATCGTTGAGCGAACGTTTAAAAACCTGGGTTCATAATTGCATAACTAAATTTTCCAAGTAAAAAAAATATTTCTATGTATTAGCACGCAAATGTGATTAATTATATATATTGCGGCTCACGCGAGAGGAGAAAATGGGCGATTAAAGTTATGAGGAACGTATTATGTTGTTATAAATGAAAATTATTGCGTTACAATTATTTTTGTGTTTACAGGCAGGAGAGAAGAATTAATCGTTAATCGAAACTGTACTTTTTCTTTTATCCCTTTGAAGAAGACCGATCTTCGCACCAAGGATCGAGAAAGGAAATAAAAAGGCGAAAGGGCCACAGCTAAAGTGGTTGCACTTGCTTTCGGGCACCTGTGGTCCTGCGTGTCAAACGCGATTATAGTCTGCGTCCGACGTCGTGTGCATATGCATCGATCCGGCGCGACCACGCGTCCATTGTTTTTTTTGCATCCTTTTTATTCATAACCGTGCGGTTACGCTGAATTGCGCGTCTACGCGTTCTTAGGTAACGCACGAAGCGCGTGTTGCGTGAACGGAATTGCTCTCCCTCTCTCTCTCTCTCTCTCTCTCTCTGTTGTAGCCTGCCGTTTTATTTTTACTTTGCACGACTGTGCTAGCGCCGACCGACCAGCGTATCGGACGCTCGTGACGTCGCCCGAAAGTGCATCCTCGCGCGTGCTGTTAGGTAACCCTGAGATAGCGACGCATCAGTCGGATCTCTTCGCTACAGCGACAATTGCAGAACGTAATCGTTGGATCACGATCTAGGCTCGCATTCTCATCTCGTGTTTCTTATTCAGAAATGTATTTAAACCTTCGATACACGCGTTACAACCGTTACAGTCGTTATCTCAGCATAATAATGCAGATGCAAAGTTATAGGAATTGTAACAAAGTGATTGGGCATTGTATTTTATTACACGTGATAGAGAAAAAAAGAAATTGAATAGGAGATTGAAAACAGTTGCGCGCTGCGTCATAAACATTACGATTTAAATGACTGAATGTGCAGTTAATTCTAAGTTTCGTTTGAATATCGTGGAAATACGAGAGAGACGCGGAAATATATACCGCAACTGCATTAGTAGCTAAATATGCGCAGAGTGAATACAAATCCAAACGCGCTCGCAAAATATCTTCCGGCTACCGAGCCAAATTTCGCCGTTTTACCTTTCGGGATAGCAATTTTAGACTTTTTGTGACGTGAAAATTTCTTATCTCGTTGTTTTCATACAAACGTTACGTATCGCCTCGTTTATATGGCGCGTTATATTTACGCGTGTGTTCCACACTTTTGCAAAAAAATATTCGCTGCTACGAGAATGCGTTATTAAGTGAACCGCTAAAACTGATACGGATTAAAGGCATTATGGCATATACGCGAGAATAGAATATAAAACGAAGATTTAAATAATTTTGTTACCACACTCGCTATAACTCATTCATTGTATTATATGTTTAAATATACCAGAAAAATTGCGAATAAGAAGGTGTCTAAAGAGTAGCGTTTGCAGGAGGGTTATTATGAGTGATTGTGACAGTGAGATAACATTGTAATATGTTTGAGTAAAAAACAAATTTTGGAGTTATTTTTATCAAACACTTACAAAGTAATTATGTAATTATGTAATTGAGTAATTATATTTTATATTACAATAAAAATGTAAGACTATGTTTTACCATTTCACTTCTCTCTTTGGACTTAACGTGATTCTCGCCCTTGAACGAGGATTTAGTTATATCGTATAACATCGTATCATGGCGATACTCTTATGAACATGGTGGGATAACACTTTAGTTGCTTATGATACAATTATGACATTAGTTCCGTTTTTTGATTTGCGGTTAGATTATTAGGTCAATGTATTGTTAACTGAAGAAGACTCTGTGAGTCGAAATGTTTTAATGTATAAAAATTGAGTGATATTGTATCTATTTTAATATTATAATTAATTTTAAATGGAATCACACAAATATCTTGAATTTGTTAAATATTGGGACATTAAAAAGAATATCTATATCCTAATAATAAAAATAATATAATAATAAAATCCAAACATCAAATATATAAATTTAAACATTATTTAAACGAGATCTTAACCTTTTTTAATCGAATACGTATTCTATTTTATTTTTCTATAAAACTTAAAAGAGAGTTATATAATATAACCTTTAACTCACTGAATCCAATAATTATACTGGAAAATTGTATTTTGTAACATAAATATGAGCAGTCATTTCCGACATATTTTTGCATGCTGAATCTGTTAGCAAAAGTTGGCTATTCATAATTGTTGGCACGTCACAATTTTGAGATACCGATAAAGAGGCAGAAACGATAATTTTGAGCTTGTTTTTAAAATATTGTAAAACTAGCAACTCTTTTTTTAATAAATTTCATTAATGCCATATCAAATAGCAATTTTTAGTTTTAAAATGCATATTTGTTTATTTCGACAAAATCTTTTATTACTGAGAGATATAGAAATTTGAAAATATAAATAGTTCTTTTCTCATGTAACAGTGTCCGATAAATAATATTAACAATATTATTTTAAAAAAATAAT